CAAAAATCTCAGGTACTGGGGAAACGACCACGGTTTCTGGTCTACCTTCATAATTACAGGAAGCGCCGAATTTTAGTGAGAAGTTAGTAGAAATAAAGGTGTAATTTTTTTCCCACCCATAATTAACAGATCTCCTCACAGGAGGTCCACGGAGCCTGTGTTAACAGCCCGACTAAACAATGAGTCTAGAGAAATAAGCTTTAATTCTATGAAAGTGAAAGGAACATTAAAAATCATCTGAACTAAAGCTTTTATGTTACAGGTGAGGAAACTGAAGCCTAGAGAAGTTATAAGACTTTGAATGTCCTGTAGTGTTTTAAACAATTCTAAGGCCATAACAGACACACAATAAACGTTCCCTGAATTGCACTAAGTGGCTTGCCAAAGTTGTACAGCTAATGATCGACGAAGTTGAGACCTGGACCCATGTGTCACGACTCCTAAATAGACGTTCCTTCAATCACATTAAGTTAACGCAACATTTGCCTTTCTGTACATGTCAATGGAGCAATCACTCTCCCTGTATGCTCCTCCTCAAAATTTCTAGGAAAACGTGCTCTCCCTCACTCCCAAGAAAAAGCTCCCTCCTGCTTGGAACAACGGAAGTCTCTGATTCCATGTCACACTATCCCTCCCTGTTTTTCTCTCATCAGTAAATATATCTTGACAGTCATAATGGACACCTATTCAGAAATTGATGGTCATCTACAATGTTCGCTAGCTATAACCAGGTGCCTGACTTACAGCAATCAGCATTCAGATAGCATGCTCCCAGGAAGTTTCCCTAGTCTCCTCGCATGATTTCCGTTATTATTGCCAATCTCTCTTCAGAAATTAGCACATCTTTTTCGGTTTAGTTTTAAAAAATAATGTTCACCACACTGCCATCTCCCAGCTTTGTCCCATCATGTTCTCTTTTCTATACCATCTCAACCACAAATGTTCTTTCCTTTACCATGCTCAGTACTGGCATTATCTTTCATATCAATCTCTCACTGGATTTGTGCCGCCAGTCCAACAATTACAAATGGAGTGTCCGCCATCCCTCAGCTCTGAACTATTTGTTATCAGGCAATCCAGCCCTCTTCTCCCTGAATGAATCACTGCTCTAGACACACCTGCAATTTAAAGTTTCCTCCTGCATCTCTCCAAACGGCCACAGCTCTTTTCATCATCCCCCAGCACGCAGCATCCTCTCCACCAGTCCTCTCTGTGATGTGTATTCACACCACATCCTTAAGTTAGCTTTGATAACCGTCAGAGCTCACACACACCTTCACACACAAGATCATCTCTCCCTGTCCCATTCAAGGCAGAATTCTCTTTTTTCCTGTCATTTGGGGCTTACTGCTCTCTTCTCTCCACATTCCTAATACATCAAGGACTTCACTATCCACCCATTTCAAAGCTCCTTTTCCCTCATCACCTTCACGTGACTGTTCTTACAACTCTCTCGATCTGATACGTCGAATATGGTCCACATGCGGCTACGGACCACCTGAAACATGGCTAGTTTGAATTGAGATGTGCTGAATGCGTAAAAGACACACTGGGTTTCAGACTTAGTATGAAAAGAGGATATAAAACATCTCATGAAAGTTTTTATATTGATTAATACTGAAATAATATTTTGGACACGCTGGGGTAAATAAAATATACTGTGAAGTTAGTTTCACCTGTTTCATTTTACTATTTGAATGTGGCTAATAAAATTATTTTAATTACATAAATGACTTGCTAGACAGCACTACTCTGGGCGCTTCTGCTGATTCATACTTTTAAATCTTCCCTACTAATTCAAGATTTTCTGTTATCACTCCTCCTAGGACACCCCTCCCAGCTACCCCCACTGCTCCCACACGCCAAACCTAGAATTATTTTCCGCATACCATTCTCAATACCTTTTCTACCCCATTATTTCCGTACAGAGTATTTCCTTTCGCCTGCTAACAGAGCTTCTACCCCTGCCATCTAATCATAATAAAGCTCTCTTTCTTTCTTCATCAGTTCTAGTGCGGTGCTGTCTGTCTCAACTCTCAGAAAAATTTTTAGAAATAGTCCTTCTAATTCCCAACAAAAAGAACTTTGCTCACCATTCTCCAAATTGGCCTCTTCACTATAATCTCATTAAAAGGGCTAGTCATTGTAAAACCCTAGACAAATGTCAATTACTAGTTTCAGACCCATGTCACCCATTCAAACTAGGACAGCAATTCTTCCCCTGTCATTTTAAAAATGTCGTTCCTTCTCCAAACTCTACTATGTTGAGGTTTCAACCCCTTTATTCAATCCCAGAACTCTCTTACTTCATGCTAAATACTCTAATACAATTCCCCAAATGGAGTGTTTGTTTTCCCACCACTTTCAGCATGCATGTGTCATCACTCCCCAAACTGATGTGATGTCTAACATTTCTGGAATTGCCATTTCTTTTCTCGACTATGTTAGGGAAAAATCAAGACTGGGAAGGTGGACGGGAGCGGCGAGGAAGGGTTGAGAGAGTCTGCACTGAGAGGGATAAGAAGCTGCGGCCACAGAGAAGACCTCCCACTCATTGTCCCCTTCGAATGTTCCTTCTGACACCTCTCCTTACTGCTCAGCCCCGCAAGCCCCACTGTAAACCCTTCATGTGTATCTCTTCCCAATGAATGATTGCCTTCACTCCAGCGCCTCTCAGAACTCTTCCTCTGTAAGGCCTCCTTCCCATCGTTCTTAGCAAGGAAATTCCTTGTCTTTACTCCAAGGACACAGAACAATTTCTTTACTGCTTCCAATATTCCCTCCAGTGATGAAGATCTTCCCTCAGCATATTCTCTATATATAACTTCCAGTTTCCTCTCGCTCCCAGGATTGAAACACCTTTGTAAAAAAATCACTCCTCGTGTTGACACTTTCCCTTCTTTCCTACTAGTATATGTATTTAGTTCCTTCCTAATCCTCTCAAGACAGAACTCTTTCACATACACACACACTTCTGTTCCAGAAATATTGTTCCCTTTGCGTGTAGCCAACGCTAGAAATCCCTTGCACGAGTCTCTTCCAATAGGTGGCCCTCTCCTTCCTCATATGCTCTTTAGATAATCTGGGTATACAGCTCATTTGTTCATCCTTTCCTCTATTCTATTCCTCAATATTTCTCTTCTGTTCTTTTCCTCTGTTTATTCCTTTCTCTCCTTCTCTCTCTCTCTCTCTCTCTCTCTCTCTCTCTCTCTCTCTCAATGTCTGGTTTTACTGCCAATATTCTATCTGCTTCAGAAAAGAGCCCCCATTATATGAATGGGTCAAAATAAGAACTGAGGGGAACCCGAAAGAGTAGGACACGGTGCTTGTTCTCCCGTGGTCTGGGGATAATCCCCCCAGCTCCCCTCCGCTGGGGTGTCTTCCTCTCTCCTACCGCTCAGCTCATCTCTTCCTCGGGTGTCTGCTTCTCCTACTGCCTCCAAAGCCATCCCTCTGACGCCTGTCTTGCTCTCCTTTCTGCCTTAGGACCACCCTATTCAAAACATCCCGCTGATCCTTTCCTCTTCCCACCCTCCTGCCGGCTGCCCCTCCTTCCCTCCACTCTGGCCCCTTTTATCTTGTGGGCATCTCCTCCCACCTTCCAGTCGCTGCTCTGTCATTTCCTTTGGGTCCTCCTCAGGAGATGCTGCTTAGACTTCAGTCACTGGTTCCTCCTGGTCCAACCAGGTATAAAAAAAACAACAGCTGAATCCCCAAAGCCAAAATGCCCAGGGCTAGAGGGGCAAAGAAGAGGAATGCAGACTCTACAGCAGCCCTTGGGGTCTGGAAGAGGTATTAGCCCTTTGGACAATTTCAAGGAAGGGCCCAGGAACCTATCCTCAGGAATTGCTCTCTCCTGGCAAAGGACAAAAGGGCTCTTGGCTTTCCTCCCTGTCTCCACTAGAGTCAGCCCCCAGGCCTCCTGGGTCACTTCCACCTGCTAACCTGGTTAAGCAGCGGCAGGTTCATCCTTGATGCTAAAGAACTTTAAGGTTCAGGATCGCCACACTTGCACACAGCCCGTTTTTTCTTAAATACGGCCCACCCACCAAATTGCGTAAGCTTTGGATCTCAGCACACCTGAATCTGCCCCTGGATAGCGGAAAGCTTTTCCAGCTTCTGGAGGTTAAGGATCAATAGGGAAGCCTGTTTAGATTGATTCGCAACAGGGTTCAGTTCGAAAACACCTTGCCTCTATTGAGAGGGAATCCTCCTATGGAGGATCCAGGATTCCCAAATATCTCTTAGCTGAATCTCACTGGTTCCAGAATCTTAGCTGGATTCTGGAACTCAGGGCCTTTGGGCCACACCCAACTCAGCCCAGCCTGTAGCCTCTCTCTTGGCCTCCCAGTCAACCTCGGTCCAGCAGTGCTAGGCCCCCTGCTACCTGATGTTCCCTTAGGACCCCTACGTGGTTCTTCAAGGCTTAGCTCTAAATCCACCAAGAAAGAAGTGACCTCTACAACTGTAAGAGAAAGACAGGTCATCCTCACCGTCAGTACCACTTTAAGACCCTCCCTCTGCCCCTGCGTTCACAGAGCCCATTTGGGGTCAGTACAATCGTCTCTTCAGAAGCCCTTAATGAACTGACAGCTGCCCCACTGTACCCTCACCCAGGGGTCTTGCTGGTGTCCCCAGGAATCCCACACTGGCAGCTTCTCTATTCCCAGCAGAGGAGAAAAATGAAGGGATTCTGAAAAGGAGACGCAGGAGCTGAGGCTGGAGGACTAGACTGCTGGGAGGAAAGGCACTGCTCTGGCGGGAGCAACGGCAAGCCTCCGGTGAGGCTGCAGGCACTCTGGAGACACGGCGGGGCGGCGGGGCTGGGGTCTAGAGGAGCCGCGTCGGCAGCGGAATTGGAGGTGGCTCCGCAGAGCCCGCCATCTGGGGGTCTGGGATTCCAGGGCTTCAGGCAGGTGCTGAGACTCCGAGCAGGCGGCTGCCTGGAACTTCCAGGTGAACGAGCCTCCCGCCCTGCGCCCTGGTCGCCCGGCACTTACCCGGCAGACTTGGGAAAGTCTCTGAGAAGTGCAGAGGCGGGGGCGGTGCGGGGTCTGCCACTTTCTCCCGGGCGGGCAGCAGCTCTTCGGCTTCCAGCGCGCCCTCCGGGCGTCGGCCGCCCGGCTCGGGGTTGTTTCTGGTGGCAGTGGCGGCGGCGGCGGCGGCGGCGGCGGCAGCAGCGAGCTCCGGGGGCCCGTAGAAGGTGTCGGGCGGCTCCGCGAAGCTGGGCAGCGCGGTGGTCAGCGCCACCATCGAGGGCACGGCCTGGCCCAGCCCCGCGCAGAAGGTGTTGGTCAGGCGGCCGGCAAAGGAGGCTAGCGGGGCGAGGGGCGGGAGGCCGGCGGGCAGCGGCGCGGGGGCCAGCGCCTGCGGCAGCACGAGGGGCCGGTAGGGCATGAACATGGGGTAGCCAGTGTAGAGCAAGTGGCCGGAGCGCGGCGGCGGCGGCCCGATCAGGGAGTCGATGGAGAAGGCAGCGCCCGGGCCCCCGCCGCCCAGGGCGCTCCCCTCCGGGCGCCGCCGTGCGCCCCGCGGCTCGGGCGCCCCACGCGGACACGCAGGGCTCGCTCCCTGACTCCCGGGCCGAGGTGCCGGCGGGGCGCGGGCTCGGCGCAGTGTGGCTCCGGCGCCGCGCTCCCTCTCTCTCTCATAAGGAGGGAGGGGGCGGGCGAGCGGGAGGGCTGGGGGTGTCGCCCTCCGGACTCATCCATCTTCCTCAAATTACGCTTCCCTTCCTCCCTCCGCCCGCAGCGCCGCGCCCGGCTCCCGCTCCCTCCGCAGAAGCCGTTCCCAGCGGCCCGGCCGGCAGGCCCGGGACCCCCGCCCGCCCCCCGCAGCCCAACCAACTATTATTAATGGAGATTGATGAGGCCGGACACGCCGCTTTGTGAAAGTTTGCGGCCGACGAGAAGGCAGCGGCAGCTGCCGGGCCGGTGCCCCTCCCTCCAGCCGGCCCGCCCCCCACTCTGCCCACCCAGCTCTGGGCGTGGACTGGGAGCTGGGCCCGGCGTGGACCGAGCTCAGGGCGGCCAGCGAGGAGAGCGCAGCGAGGGCGCGGCGGCGGGCGGGCGGCCGGCGTGGCCGGACCACAGAGCCCCCCGCCCCCGACGCCCCCTCCCCGGCCCCTGGGGCGGACGACAGGGCGGGCCCGAGAGCAAGGCGCGGCGGGCGGACGGGACCTCGGCGCCCCCCGGGGCGGCGAGGCGGGAACGGCAGGGGGCGCGCTCCCCCGCGGCTCTGGGCCCCTCGGCTCGGACCCTTTTCCTCCTCGGTAGCCCGCATTCACACTCTCCCCCTGGTGCCTCTTGGCACCTTGGCTTTTCCTCACTCCCCCTCCGTCGCGCACTCCCTGAGTCCCTCACTCTGGCCTCTGCGGGTAATTTCCTCGAGTGCCCTCACCATAAGTCAAGTACTTACCATTCCTCTCACCCTTCTCCCGCCATCTTCCTCCCACCCTTCCCTTTCCTGCCCTCGTTTCTATCCCTATTCCTATCTGATTATTCCCATCTCTCACTCCCTACCCCATCCGCTTTATTCTATTTACCCCCTCATTTCTCGCCTAAATCTGTATCTCTGTCTGTCTGTCTGTCTGTCAATCTCGGTCGCCCTCCCTCGCTCTCTCTCCCTCTCTTCCGCTATTAATTTCCCTGATTGGCTCCCCGACTCCAGCGCCGCTGATGAGCCCTATTCATTCCCGGGCCTGACACTCTCGACCTGCCCTGGCTGATTGCTGGGGGCTGGCCCCAGGAGCGCTGATGAGCCCCAAGGGTCAGCAGCGCTAATTAGCCGCTAATTGCAGATGACTCTGCTCACCTCCCCCATTCTCCGACACAGAAATGGCGGCGCCTTTTACCCTCCCCCTCCTCCTGATTCCCAGAAGTAGACTTGTCAATCTGGAGGCAAAAGTCATGGGCACTTTTGCTTGATAGCAGCCTCAGGTCAGTGGGCAAGAAAGACTTAAGACAGGCAAGTCAACAGAAGAAGAGAGACCGGAGCTTCAGGACACAGAGCAAGCCTGGCCAGCTAAATGAGGGTCATCTGGTCACTGGGAAACTGTTATGCAGGTGGGGCCAGGGAGAGCCAAGCAAGTTGAAATTAATACTAACAAAGCCAGACAAGTTTAGGAAGAGGCAATCTAAACAGAAGATGTTATTTGGTTTAGGTGAGGAGGAAAACCTACAACAGAGTCTCAGCGTTCCAAGAGAGAGCGGGGCAGGTAGGAACTCTGCATCTCAGTGACCTCTGTCCACATCAGGAGTGTTGTGTTGGCCCGTGAACACCACTCATGTCAGGCTGATGTATTAAAGTCAGCACCCTGAAAAACACTGTCACCAGAGTGGGACAGAAGAGGGTGGGACCCTAGAAGGAAACCTTCTTTGGTTATGCTTGACTGACAACGCATCAGAGACGTAAAGGGAGAAGAGGGTGGTCTCCACGCAGTCCTGGTCTACGTGGGCTCTACACTGAACTCAGTGAAACTTCTGAGACAAGTCTGGTGGGAAGATGGCTCCAGGGAGAAAGAAGAGGTGCCCTAACTCAGGTCTGGGAACAGTACCCTAAAGTACTACGGTAACCCTTGTCCAGCCTCCTAAAGACATTCTTCAGAACCCTTTGTAAAACTAACCAAGCATTGCACGGTACCAGTATGGAAGACCAGACTTCAGAAGTGTATTGTAGGGCTTCCCCGGTGGCGCAGTGGCTGAGGGTCCGCCTGCCGATGCAGGGGACACGGGTTCGTGCCCCGGGGTTCGTGCCCCGGTCCGGAAAGATCCCACATGCCGCCGAGTGGCTGGGGCCGGGGGCCCAGGTGGCTGGGGAC